CTTTATAAATTTAAAATGACTAAAGTACCTAAAACTAAAAAACACAAAAAACCATTGTCATCACCAAGTTCTCTAAACCTATCATTTACTAATATTCGTGGTCTTCGAAGTAACTTTTCTTCTGTTGAGTCTTATCTCTTGCAAAGTTCACCAGACCTACTTGCTCTTTGTGAGACTAATTTGAGTTCGGCTGTCCCATCTTGTGATCTTAGTGTTGATGGTTATCTTCCTTTAATTCGTAAAGACTCCAATAATCACATGCTTGGCCTGGGCATCTACATTCGTAAGAACTCACCCATTTGTCGTGAAACTAGGTTTGAATCTACAGACTATTCATTTATGTGCTTTCGTTTAGCACAACTTCACTCTATCGCCTTTCTCTTTGTTCTATATCGCTCTCCTTCATCCCAAGACTGCACTATTCTTGATGTTATTTCTGATCAAATTGACCAAGCCCTCTCTCTTTATCCATCGGCCAATATCGTCGTTGTTGGTGACTTTAATGCCCATCACACCGATTGGCTTGGCTCTAGTGTCAGTGACTCTGCTGGCGTTAAGGCCCTCAACTTTTGCCTTTCTCAATCTCTAACTCAAATAGTCAACTTTCCAACTCGTTTTCCAGACAACCCTAATCATTTACCTTCTCTACTCGACTTATGTCTTGTTTTGGATCCTAGTCAGTGCTCAATTTCTCCACATTCACCCTTAGGTACTTCTGATCACGGTTTGATCTCTCTAAAACTATTATCAAATTCTTCTACTTCATCAGAATCCCCCTATCATCGTACCACATACAACTACCTTAAAGCTGACTGGGACTCTTTCCGTGATTTTCTTCGTGATGGCCCTTGGGTAGAAATCTTTCGTCTTCCTGCTGACAAATGTGCTTCTTACATAACTTCGTGGATTCAGGCTGGCATGGAATCTTTTATTCCCTCTCGACGATTCCAGGTCAAACCTCACTCTTCTCCTTGGTTTTCCTCACATTGCGCTGCAGCAATTTCTAATCGAAACCGTTACTTCCATATCTATCAGCAAAACAATTCTCCAGAAAACAGACATCTGTTCACTATCGCCAGAAACCATTGTAAAAAGGTTTTGTCTGACGCCAAAGCTCACTATTCCCAGGTCATTAAATCTCGTATCTCATCACAAAAATTAGGCTCTCGAGACTTCTGGAGAATCTTTAACAGTATCAATAATAAGGGCAAATCTGTTATTCCTTCTCTCTTGTATGGTTCAGACTTTGTCACCTCACCTAAAGACAAAGCTGAATTGTTTGCTAAGAACTTTTCATCAATATCATCTCTTGATTCCACTAGTTGCGTTTTACCTGACATAGCCGTCAAACAGGTTGATCCCTTGCTTGACATTCGCATCACTTCAGCTTCTGTATCTAAAGTAATTTCCTGCTTAGACTCTTCAACAGCTTGTGGTCCTGACAACATTCCTGTTGTAGTTTTGCAGAGGTGTTCTCCGGAGCTTTCATCCATACTTTCTAAACTATTTAACAAGTGCTTATCAGAGTCTTGTTTTCCATCATGCTGGAAAGCAGCATCTGTTATCCCTATTTTCAAAAATTCCGGAGAGCGATCTGATTCATCTAACTACCGTCCCATTAGTCTTCTTCCTGTCATAAGCAAGGTTTTTGAATCTTTAATCAACAAACACTTAATCTCTCATCTTGAATCAAATAACTTACTCTCTGATCATCAATATGGATTTCGGTCTTCTCGTTCTACAGCTGATGTGCTAACAGTAATAACCGATAGGTTTTACCGTGCATTAGATAGAGGTGGAGAGGTTAAGGCTATCGCACTTGACATTTCTAAAGCTTTTGATAAAGTTTGGCATGCTGGTCTTCTCCATAAGCTTTCTTCTTATGGTGTAGCTGGTAACGTCTTTAAGATTATTGAGTCCTTTCTTTCCAATCGTAGTATAAAAGTTGTCCTCGATGGACAACACTCTTCTTCACATCCTGTAACTTCAGGGGTTCCTCAAGGTTCAATCCTTGGCCCTATACTCTTTTTAATTTACATTAACGATCTTCCAGATATTCTCACATCTAAGGTGGCATTATTCGCTGACGACACTACCATTTACTCTTGTCATGATAAGAAGCCTACACTCTCTGATTGCTTGGAGGGGGTATCTGAGCTTGAAAAAGATCTCACTTCTGCTATAGCATGGGGCTCACAGTGGCTGGTGAACTTTAATTCAGATAAAACTCAATTTTATTCGGCCAATCGTTATCGTAATAATTTAGATCTTCCTATATTTATGAATGGTAATGTACTAGATGAGTCATCTACCATTCATCTTCTAGGATTAACTCTTACTTCTGATCTTTCTTTTAAACCGTATATCAAATCCATTGCAAAATTAGCATCTGCAAAGGTTGCATCTCTTTATCGAGCTCGACACTTTCTTACTCCAGATTCTATTCTCTATCTCTATAAATCTCAAATCCGTCCCTGTATGGAATACTGTTGCCACATCTGGGGCGGATCTTCTAATGATGCTCTTTCTCTTTTAGACAAGGTGCAAAAACGAATTGTAAACATAGTTGGACCTGCTCTTGCAGCCAATCTCCAACCTTTGTCACATCGTCGTAATGTTGCTTCTCTTTCTCTTTTCTACAAATACTATAATGGGCACTGCTCTAAAGAGCTAGCGTCCCTTGTGCCATCTACTAAAATTCACTCTCGTGTTACTCGCCATTCAATTAAGTCTCATCCTTTTTCTGTGACTGTTCCTAAGTGCTTCAAAAACTCTTATTCTTCTAGTTTTTTTCCTCGAACATCAGTTCTTTGGAATTCGCTTCCTTCATCTTGCTTTCCTGATTCATATAATTTGCAATCTTTTAAGTCATCAGTCAATCGTTATCTTGCTCTACAGATTTAGTCTTTTCTCTTCCAGTAACTTCCAACTCTCATAGTGGTTGCTTGCAGCCTTGTTGGAAGTGAAGATGTTAAAAAAAAAAAAAAAAAAAAAAAAAAAAAAACACCTTAAACATGTAATTCAAGTGTTCCACAATCAAAAATTCAGTCAAGCAATCTTTTCCGTTGCACACAATTCTCCCAGTGTTTTTGTTGAGATAATTTACAAATATTTAAGGTACAGTTTGGGGTATGCCAAGTTTTGCGGAACATCTATAGAATTGCCAGTGCTAGGCTAAATATAAAACAAAAAGTAATACGAACTAGGACATTTCCGATTCCATATATATTTAAAATATTCACAGTTTATGCTATAAATAGTTAAATTAGTTTTAAAATAGTGCTAACTTGAGAAAATAAAGACATTATAAGATAAATGTAGATTTATGTACTGAAAAAGAAAACTTTTTGTCTAGCTTTATATTTAATTTATAAAAATTGAGCTAAACTCAAATTCCAAAATCAACTTTTAAATTTTTGTTGATTTACTAATCAATCTTAGTAAATCTATTTAAGTGTATCTAAGTTAACCTATTAAATCTGTTAAGTTTACCATTAAACTCCTGGATTTATATATATATATATATATATATATATATATATATATATATATATATATATATATATATATATATATATATATATATATATATATATATATATATATATATATATATATATATATATATATATATATATATACTGTGAAACATTTATATATCACACATACTGTGAAACATTTTTATTCTTATAAAATTTATAAGTTTAATTTTAAATTTAAGGTAACGTAGAAAAGTAATTAAATCAAGCATATTTGATTTCCTAGCCTAACAGCCAAGTTCAATGCATACACTTGCCATAGTATAGCAAATTCCATAGTATGCCATAGTATGGTAAAGTAAAGTGTAGTATTGCCATAGTATGGAAAAAATTGAATAAGCTGGTATAATTATATAAAAACCACATGTATGTGTATGGGCCATACACATTGTCACAATTTGTATGGCCCATACACATATATGTGGTTTTTATATAATTGTACCAGCTTATTCAATTTTTTCCATACTATGGCAATACTATACTATACTTTACCATACTTACTATTTACCTATACTTTACCACATGTATGTGTATGGGCGATACACAATGATTGTGTATGGCCCATACACATACATGTGGCTTTTATATAATTATACCAGCTTACTCAATTTTTCTAATACTTTATAAGGATTGGGGAACAATTTACTGTTTTCTTATAATAAAAATAACAATAATTTTCGTAAATAAATAACTTTTTAAACATAAGGTATCTTTATCATTTCATACGATATCAGCGCCATTACTGTAACACTAAAGGCACACATTATTTTAAGGAAATACGCTTTTATTGAATACCATAAAAGCGTATTTCCTTAAAAATATTTCCTTTGTTTTTACTTAATTTGGATTTACGGAAATAAGTTTCCTTAAATCAAGGAATACTTTTTACTACGGTAAGGAAATAATAATGTTGCTCCCATGCTGATAAATTTATCAAAAATATGTTTTCGCCCCAGTCCATGGTTTTTTTGATAGTATTTATACAAAATGGATTTTAGATCTTCATACATTATAGCGTGATATTTTTTGAACTACAAATCATACGAACTATTTAAAAATATATTTGAATAGAGAATGCTTTTGAGTATATTCTGTTAAAATTTTAAAAATATACACAAAGCAGATCTTTATTGACATTATCCCAAAAATTGGGCAAAATTTTAGTTGTGACCCGTTACACTAAATTAGCCTGCTGCCAGGGGCTTCAGTACATGCATAGACTATCTTATAGCGTGCTGCCGCAAAAGAGTGTTGCTACATTAACTGAGAGTTTGGCATGGGGTAGCAATCTTTTCTTTCATTATTCTTTGTTTTTTTCTTTTTTTTCAAAAGAAATTTTTTTTATTAACAGTAATATATATTTTTTTAAATATGGTTAAAATTATTTTTAACAAAAATTAAAATTAAAATTTTTTTTTCCTTGATAATATAAGCATTGAAATTTTTTTTGTTTTTGTTTAGTTCATTGTTAATTGTGACAGTTTTTGACAGAGAAGTTAGTTGTCGAAGAGCTGCATCAGTAAGTTGACAAGTTGCATTGGTAATTTCATAATAATAAAATATATTTTATTTTTTCTGAAAACATTTTTTTAAATTTTATTTGAAAAAAAAATCTTTAGGCAGCTTTTCAAGAAAATGTTGGAAGACAAGTAAATGTTTTTTTTTTTATACCAAGGTTATTCCAAAGTTGATTTTGAGTTGTTCTCTATCAAGATCAACTTAAAGTTGACAAGTTTTGTAAAAATACATTTTGAAATTATATATAAGATTTGACTTTTTTTTGCATATGTTTGCCTTCCATTTTCTATTTTTATTCTTTTTCTTTGTTTTTGTTATACCCCTCTATCAAACCTTAACTTTCTAAACATAAACCCTAGGTAAAAACCTAGGTGAAGTAGACTGCTGCACTGGGACGTGGTGTGTTTAAGCTTTGTACATTTTGGTTACAAAATCAAGTTCTATACCACAACATCAATACTGTATTTGTGGTTGTAATATTTGTACCACAGCACCACTTCTGCATTTGTGGTTGTAATATTAACAAATCAAATCAATTATTTTTTACTTTTTGAATAGGTTTTGAGTAAATCTAACTGAATTCAAATATATATGATCAATTCAAATATATTTTATATTTGAATCATTGAAGTTCGTTATTATTTAGTTATTGGTGATTATTTAATTTCAAGAAAAGTGACCAGATATTCTATCATCTGCTATTATCATATCAAACATACTAGATGCACTATCATCATACCAGATGCACTAGACAAACTAATTTGCTATTTTTGCATTAAAAATATTATCGTATATCTTATTATACAAGACACACAATATTTTGTTGTTACATTATATTTTAATGTTATACCTGTTATTATAGCATACCATATATATATTTATATTTTATTGTCAACTTTAAGTTAAGTAAGAAAATAAATTTAATTCCTATTGTTTACACATTGTATTAATATTTTACATTAACATTAAGGGTACATTCCCACATGGTATTGATATTGTAACAGCAACAGATTATTTTGCAGTGGGGAACTGTACTTATTGCTATCATAATTTATGGTAAGCATTTTCATATATTTTTTTATGATTACATTTAGTTGCTTACAATTGAAATAAATAGTTACATTAAATTATTTTAGTGTTTATTTGGCTGGTTTTGAAGAGTATAAAACAAAGCTAATTGATCATCTTCTAAAAGTAAAAATATCTCATTGGGATAGGTGATTTTATTTGTGTTGCAAATTAATTTTATTGCAGGAAATTTGTTAAAAGAACTTAAAAAAAAAATTGTTTGTAGAATTATACTGCTGTACTATCATTATGCTGTCATATTGTAGCTTATTCTATTGTAATGTTGATCTTATATGAAATATACACCTCTTAAAATGATATTAATAAATCTTTTGAAAGTAGTAAATTGTTTGAAAGTTTAATTTTTATTGTTAAGGAGTAATTTTTTATAGTGAAATACGCATATTGACATCTGTGGCTTTTCATAACTTAACAGATGTGGCCCCTCAATACATGATGGACAAAGGTTACTCATTTTATTTTAAGTCTCTGTATTTTTGTACTTTGATAAGAGTTTGATGTAATACTTACCAAAGTTTTTAAAAGTCTTATTTAATTACATGTAATTACACCACATATAAATAAATTATGTGTCTTCACTGCAAGAAAAATCAGTAAAGAATTACTTATCTATTTATAAGAATTTGTTTTTAAAAGAGCATAAAAGTTTTCAGAATTTATTTTTAAATAGTTATAGAATATAAAATTATAACACTATGTATACCAAATGAATATGTATTCCAAATATGTATATTTTAACCACTTCCAAATATGTATATTTTAACCACATAATTTTTAAATACTTGTGCATTCAGTTTAAATATATTTACTAATTTCTAAAAGTTTAAAAAACTTGCAAATTTTTTTTATAATCATTTTAAAAATGCTTTTTAATTTTAGAATTTATTATAATAGTATAATAATTTCTAAAATTAAAAAGCAAAATTAAAAAAAAGAAAAAGCATTTAATTTTAGAAATTATTATTATGAATATTATAATAATTTATTATAATAATTTTATTTTAAAGAAAATCCTTTTCAACAAGTTTACTTTTTTTTCTAATTTTTTTGTCACTGAATTTCATTTAAAATATTTCAAACTTGATTAGTTTAGTTTAAAATTATTTTTTACTTTTACTATTATATACTTACTATTTTATTTACTAGTATATAATTAAATAAATAATAAAAATAATTTTATTATTTTACATAAACTTTACTCATAACTTGTTCATACTTATAATATAATCATAACTTTTGAAACTATAAAAGATTAGTAGTTCAAAATCTGTTGATGAATTTAAATTCATTATGAGATAAAAAAAAAAAAAAGATTTCATTGACCTATTAATTTGTTAATTTTTGTTGATCTGTTAATTTTTAGTTTATTTGATCTTATTAAAATAAAAAACTTTTAGTTTTACCTTTGTTACTTGTGGAAACTTCTTCGATTGATGTTTGCACTAAACATGGATCAATTTTAGCTTTGTCTGAAGTTGTGTATGCACTATATTTGCACTCTAAAAAAATGTAATTTTTATATTTTCAAAGTTTTTTTTTTTTTAATTTTTTATGATTGTTGCTGAATTATTATTTTTTAAATTTTGACTTTTTTTTGGTGTATTAGTAATTATTACATAAGTATTTTAAGAACTTCTTTTTAAAGGGACAGATTTTATTTTACAGAGTTCTATTTTTTAGAGGGACAGATTTTATTTTACAGAATTCTATTTTGGAAAAAATTTATTTATTGGTGAATAATGTAAGTAAAATAATTTAATTTTTAATTTAATAATTCACATCACTAATACAATTTGCTCACTTTAATTTGTTAATATAACACTCACTAGATGTACTGAATTCCCTGGTGATGTCTCGTTCAATATAATGTCATTATTTTATTTCATGTGATGCTAAGACTGTATGTATATATGTGTGTATGTATATATATATATATATATATATATATATATATATATATATATATATATATATACATACATACATATATATATATATATATATATATATATATATATATATATATATATATACATATATGTGTGTGTATATATATATATATAAATGTGAATATATATACACACTTATATACATATATATAAATGTGAATATATACACACACACACACACACACACACACACACACACACACACACACACACACACACACACACATATATATATATATATATATATATGCGTGCACGCAATCATATAAATTGTTATTTATATTTAGTTGCGTAAAGGCAATAAGTTCAGGTGAAAATTTTTTTTCTAATGTTTTGATTAAAACTTGTTTCTTCGTCGTACAGTTATTCATTTATTGTATCTAATGCTTATTTTAAATAAATTTTTTTTAGAGGTGTTGATGGAGAACACTTAAGAAAAGCAGGTTTCTCAACTTTTTAATTTTAGAAAAAGTATTTTTTTTATATACTGGAAATGTTTTTTGTGTTTCTTTTAGGGAACTAATATTGTTTGCTAATGATTTATTTTAGTGTGCAATATGATTGAAAAATTTTCTTACTCTGAAATCCCTGTGAATGAATCAGTATTAGGTCAGTATTACTTTGTTACTGCTGTTTTTAATGAAATGACTCACAGTAGGGCTGAAGGGCAAGGTTCTGAAAATAGAATCATAGTTATTAATTGAGCAATACAATACAAAACTCATTGAAAAGACTTAAAAATAATTTTTTGCTAGTTAAAAGAAAATGTAGTTTTTTTATTTAAACAATTTTTAGAACTGGGTTCTATTTTTAGATGTTTTATTAATTTTTAGAACTGGGTTCTATTTTTAGATTAAAAGCAGAATTATCTTTTCATTTAGCTGTTTAACAATTCTTATGGTGGTAATTTTATTTGAAATTAAAACTGTCCTAATTTACTAACTCATTAAAGGTACATAAAAAAGCTCAGCAAATTTAGTTCCGAATTATAAAATCCCTAAAAATAGCTAAATACATTTTTTTTTCTGGCTTTCAGAATAAATAATTTTTATAAAAATATAACTTTTTTAAATAATCTTCTTTGAGTCCACTGTGAAATATCTTGTCCAGAGGTACCTACTATGCAATTTATACAGAGGTTTATTCAGAACTTTATACAGAGGTACCCACCTGCAATAAATTATACAGAGTTGCCCACTGTGTATTATTTTGAACAGAGGTGTCAGCTGTACAGAGGTGTCAGCTGTACAGAGGTGTCAGCTGTACAGAGGTGTCAGCTGTACAATATTTTATACAGATTATACAATTTCCAATATTTTTGAGGGTATATTTTTGTACACTGTGCAATATTTTGTATATTATTATATGTTACTGAAATGTTTACTGTTATATATTAGGATATTCTTTCTATATATTAACATATCTTATTTTTTCATTTAAAACAGTTAATTCATTCATAGGTTTTTTTATTGCTGTTGTTTTAAAATAATTTTTTTGCTTAGATGATTGGATATTTGTAATTGAAGATTCATTGTCGCATACCTTAGTTGATGTTCAGGTTTTTATTATTTAGACATTTTAATATATTTTTTTACATATGAGTTGAATTGGTATTCTGTGATGTATATATTTAGTTTATTTAGATATGTGATCATATATTTAGTGTGGCAATGTTGTGCATTAGAAAAATTTATCACTTTATCAAATATTTAAACTATTATTAATTTTTATTGACAAGACAAAACCAGATAAAAATTTTTTATAGTACAACAAATAGTGAAAATTTGATTAGTATCATTGAGATAGCTTTCAGGTTAAGGATTGAGTTTATTAGTGTTATTTGTGAATTTTTTATTAGATTTTTATTTGACTTTACAAATGCTTCTTTCGGAAATAATGCACAACTGCTATTAGTCATTATTATATGTCAATCAATGCAGTCTACTCTTGATACCTTAAATACTTGATATCTTGAATTTTTTTTTGCAGTCTTGGACATAACGTTAGGCTTAAATCTTCTCAATATCTCGAACTTTTTGGTCCACAGGGCAATTTTCTCTCATTATCTCAAACTTTTCAACAATTTTTTTTTCAAAAAATGTTATAATAACATTTAATTTTTTAAAATTCCAATATTTCAAAAGAATTGCTATGAAATTTTTTAAAATTCGATTTTTTTAATGAATCAAATTTCTGAAAAGTATTCCTTCATTAGATTAATTTATTGTTTTTGTCAAACGCAGTAACATGCCACTTGTTAAACGAAAACTCACAAACAAATCTATAATAGAAAAATGCAAGGCATTAAAAGACCTGGAGACAGGGATGTCTAACAAAGAGGTTGCCCAAAAGTATGGTGTCCAAAAGAACACATTATCAACCTAGATTAAAAATGAAAACAAGTTATTAACTTCACTGGAAAAAAATAGCACAAAATTTAAACAGAAGAAACATCATAGTGGTAATTTCTAAAATGTAGAAATTATCAAGGTCATATTCACGTGGTTTATTTCAAAAGTCAACAAGTACCAATTCATATAATTTCAGGCAAAAGTGCTGTTGTGACAAACAATATGACTTCTTCATGGAATGAAACTACACTTTTAATATTGCTTTCGAATTACAAACTTGTAAACATTTTCAATGTCGATGAGTTTAGACTATTTTATCAGTGCCTACCAAACTAAACATACTATTTATCACACAAAAAATGTTTAGGGGGAAAAAATAGTAAAGTTAAACAGCCATAGCAGCAAGGAGTGCAACAGGCGAAAAATTACTTATGTTTGTTAACAGAAAATCTAAAAGTCTACAATGTTTTAAGCACATTAAACAGCTAAAATTTAAAAATCAGCTAAAAAGTTGGATGACCGGAGACCTTTTTACAGAATGGGTAAAGAAATTTGACTAATTTTTTTGCTCAAGACATGAAAGTAGCACTCCTGGTGGATAACTGTTCTGCCCACCCACGCATTGAAGGGCTAAGCACCATCAACCAAATATTTCTTTCCCCTAACACCACATCTGTCCTTCAGCCATGGATCAAGGCATAATGCAAAGTCTTAAAGCTCACTATTGTCACAAAATTGTGCATTTGTATATCAAGGCTGTCAGTAATAACAAACCCCTGCCAAGAATTTATATACTTCAAGCAATGAAAGATCTTGTTTCTTTGTGGATTGCTGTGTCGAAAGAAACTGTCATCAACTGCTTTAAAAAAGCTGGTATCAGCAAAACAAACAAGTGTATTGAAGAAGCTAATGATGATCATCCTTTTAAAATTTTGACAGAACAATTTAACCGTTTGAGAGAGTTAGATCCTAGTGCCATCCAAGTAGATCTTTTAGTGCACAGTGGGCCAGTGGTTAGGTTTATCCACCACAGATAAAACCTAAAAAAGGTATATTTATTAAATTCAATACCATATAATAAAACATATTTGTAATATTCTCATTTAAAATTTTGAAAATTGTTTTGAGTATAACAGTATCTTTTAAAACCACAAAAATCAGTTGTGGTTTCATCTATAATGAAAATTTTTCTTTAAAAAAAGCCTGCAATTTTTATTTTTTATGCGTAGCTATAGTAAACAGTAACTTTTAAAATTTTATGAGCTTACGGGATTAGTTTATATATTTAAATTACTTAACAGTAGAGCTTTACAAAAAAAATATAAAGTAAAGATCAGTCTTTATAATACACTTATAATCTGGCATTAAAATAATGACGTAAATTTTAAACATTTAGTACTAAATAATGAAGTAAATTTTAAACATTTTGTACAAAAAGTGTCACATAATTTAGGGAACCTACGAGAACCTATATTAATTACTTGAACTGGTGAATGTAATATGTATACAACCTATTTTAACTATATACCTAACTTCCCCTCTTGGGGAAGTTAGGTATATAGTTAAAATAGGTTGTATACATATATTAGGTATATAAACAAAAATACATGTTATTTTGTTTGTAATTTAATTCAATACAAATTGCACTGTTTAGCTAAAAAAAAAATTGTTTTTTTTTTGGTTAGTAATAATATAAAAATTGATGATATTTATGGACTTATACAACAAAATAAACTAGTACCTAATGACATATTATTATTTTAACTGAAATTATATGTTCTAGTTGCTGGAGATATTAAACTAAGATTCTGAGTGAAAAAATTTCTGAAATTTGAAATAAAAGCCCCATTATACCTCCTTAGATATATTCTCCTGATAAAGCTTTGGCATTAATGATTTATTGTGATATATCAAAATCAACATACATATAAGATTTTCAAAAGCTAAATGATATTTCAAGAACGTTCAGATAGATGGCAATTCAGTACAAATAATGCTAAAAGATCTTCTAAAACACACTCTTAAAAAGCTATATGGTATACAAACTACTGTGCTAATCACAATGCTAAGGAATGAATTAAACTGACATTTAGATGCAAAGAGTGGTTTGATATCGAACCCCCGCCACATCCATCTGATATTCATTTAGAAAATGCTTTTGAAACAATTCAAAATGCTTCGCTACACAGCTCAAAATACGGAAATGAAATACAATACCTAGCACTAAAACTTGAGGATCTAATGAAGATGTAAAAGATGGATAATTTGAAGCAACATCAGATAACAGATTTTTTCCAAAAGTTGTAGTTTTTATTGTTAATGATTTTTGTCAGAAAAGTAACTTGTTTTAATGAAAGTCTGGCGGTTTTATTTTTCAACTCTTTTCTTGATATCTCAAACTCTCGATATTTTAGAACTTTTTTCCCAGTCCTTTATGTTCGAGATATTGAAAGTTTACTGTCTCGGTAGACAGTAGCATTGATAGTTTTTCTACTTTACACGAATGGCATAGCAGTAATAGTTGTTCTACTTGGCATAAATTGGATGGCAGGAAGCAGCAATAATAGTTGTTATAGACATAAGCAAGTTTGTACCACCTCAAGTATTTGAGATATTGTGCTGTATGCCATACTAATTGTTTAATTAATCTTTTTATTAATGGTAGTAATTTCAAGATTAATAGTTCCTTGTTTGTTTTAAATACAGCAAGAGTTTTTCTCATATCATATTTGATTAAAATTATTTTGCTGTGCAAGAACAATAGTAATGCCTTTAACACTAAAAATTGCATGTTATATGCAAATTAATAGGAAGTTATGATAAATATCAATTAATTTTGCTTTTGCAATGCTATTATTAGTTCAATAAGTTACTCGAACAGTTTGGAAGTTAGTAAAAGCTTTAAAAATGTTAAGTTACTCAAACAGTTAAGAAGTTAGTTAAAGCTTTTAAAATGCATGAAATGCAATAATTTATAATTATAAGTGAATTTTCAAGAAAAATGGTTGAAGTGAATTATAATGAAAAATAATAATTTAATTTTCATTATAATTTAAAATAATAAATTTTCATGAAATTTTGTTTTCTATTTTATTAAAATCTATTCTTTAAGTTTATTGTTCTTTAGATCTTTGCAAATAAGTTATCTTTGTAATAAGAAATTAAAAAAGCTTATATTTTAAGTTTATTGAAACTTATACTTATATTTTTCATGCAGAATGCAGCATGCAGAGCTCTTCCGCCATTTTGTTTACAATACTTGCAGACAAGTAGATACTCTCATGGTAAGTTATCTTTTTATCATGGTTAGTTTTTTGTCATGGTAAGTTTTATTTGTTGTTATTTTGTTTTTTAATTTTTAAAATTCTAAAATGCCAGACAGCAGAAGTGATGGCATCGGAATTACTAGATTGTTTACTTAGATACCAAGATCTTTTTATAAAAAAAGATACAATTATAATGAATAAATTTGTTCTGTTATATTTGAATTTAAAATTTTTAATTTTTAGATGAGTTGTTAAAAAAGATCTGCTTACAATCACAATCTTCGAATAAGTTTGTTCGGTAAATTTCAGACTTTCAATGTTTACAAATATTTTATTTTACTCATGTTGATTCATTGTACTCATGTTGCATATATATTATCATAGTTTTGTAATTAGGTCTAAATCATATTACAATTGTGTAGGAATCAATTTCAATTTGTGGTGCAATTTTTTTTTAAATATGCTTCAAAATAAAGTTTTTAAAGAAATTGTTTATTTTGATAAAAATATTACTCAATTAAAAATTTTTTAAATTCGAAAACCATTCTGAAACCAAAATCTCAAATCTTTTATCTATGACTTAAGTCTCAGATCAAAGTCGCAACTAAAGTAAAACTTGAATTGTATTAAAAAGTTGAGTTATATATATATGACTTAAATTTGCACAAAATTGTTTAATAGATTTATTTACTAGGATGGGTTTTACTGATTGATTTATTTACTAGGATGTGTTTTACTGACTGATTTATTTACTAGGATGGGTTTTACTGACTAATTTATTTACTAGGATGGGTTTTACTGACTGATTTTTTTACTAGGATGGGTTTTACTGACTGATTTATTTACTAGGATGGGTTTTACTGACGCATTAGGAGTCTTACCAAGATTTATGCTACTTAAACAAGTTAATCAAATTATGGACTTGCTTATACAATCCAGCTTAACTACAAATAATAAAGTCAATGATGGTGTATTTGCTGAAGCCAGAGTGAATTCAGTTAGTGCAATTGTAAAGTGAGAATTTTTTAAACAAACTTTTATTACTGAAAATGAGAATATATAACAAAGTGTAAGTTTAGGTTCAGAAATAACAGAAATAACAGTTTATTTTAAATTGAATTTTCCACAGAATTTGTAAAACGGTAGGATTGGTTGATGTTACAGATTATGAACGTTTGTATGAATGTTTTTTTTTGGCTCTTCAAGATTATACTGTGGATAGTCGAGGAGATGTTGGAGCTTGGTAGGTTTTTTATTTTGCTTAGAGTAAACATTTTTTATTTTTAACTTAGGAAAGTAAAACACATAGCACATTATTCAAGTTCATGAAAAAATACTTGTTAAAAATTATATTATTGATTAAATATTTATTTAGGGTTCGTGAATCTGCTATGTCAGCTTTAGTTGACTTTTCTAATCTTGTTTTAAGTACTGGATTTTGTATTTCAAAAGAAATGTAAGTTTGGAAAAGCTTTATTAATGTAGAATTATTGTATATATTTTTTCAATCATTTTTTTTTTTTTTTTTTTTAAATGAAAAGTCATACTATTACTTTAGATGCAAGAAAATTATTTACTATCTTGTTCAACAGTGTTCAGAAAAAATTGATAGAACTCGTGAATGTGCTGGAAATGCTCTTGTGAAATTTGTTTATTACAGGTAATTACAAAGTTTTGTAATAATTACCTGCACAGTTTATTACAATGGCATAATTGAAACTTATTTTTCAGCCCTGGGGATGTATACATTCCAAGTTGTAAAGAATTTCACGAACTGCTTCCTTTGTAAGTTTTTATTGAATATAAAAAAAAAAAATTTTTTTTACAATATGCTGGTTTCATAATAAAAAATTGTGCAAATCGAACAGAAAAAGCAAATTTTTTATTAAAAAAAATGTTTTGCAAAAAAAAAATATTACAAAACTTTTACAAAAAAGTTTATGAAATAAAAATTGTTTCCTGCCATGTATAATGTAATTTCATCAATCTTCTTTCTCAATAAGTTTTTCAATTCGACCTCTAAATCTATGGCATGTCTTCTGGATGTATTCACTTGAAATACAATCCAAGCCTTGACAAGGGAGATCTTGATAGCTTTAGTGTTTCTGTGGGATTTTGTACAAACGTCTGACTAAAGTTTATCCCACACTGAATAGTCCAGAGGATTAACATTTGGAGAGTTTAGAGGCCATCAGTTTTTTGGCCAGAAATTCAGCATATTTTTTTCAAACCTGGCATGTGTCTTTTTAGCGGTGTAGCATCATGCATCACCCCGCTCTATCTATTCAGGTGTGGCACTATGCTCAATCTCCTTGATACCATCCTGGCACAAAATTAAATAATCTTACTAATTTTGCTTCCCATTTTGAACTACATTTAAATATTGTTGTTTTGTTTTTTTCTTATTAATCTACACATAATAAGCTTTTTATAGAAAACAAAAACTCTGACAAGTTTTTGGCTGGAAATTCTTTTTATTATATGCACTATTTTTTTTTAAAACTATTATTTTAAAACTATTGTTAGAACTCAGTATTCTGCAATAAAATTTATTATTGCCTAACATTTGTGAATACTTCGTGGCACTTGTGCACACACAAGCTTGCTTGATATACTTTATTTTTTAATAAGTTTGTAAAACAAAAATAAAAAAAGTAAGAAAATAAAATAAAGTAAAACAACAAAACCAAAATAAAATAATAAAGACAAAAACAATCTTAAATTAAAAATAAAAACTTTCTAACAGTCCTGGGACTGACACATAGATGGGGTTTGGATTATTGCTTCCATATTATGGATTATTGCTTCCACTTAGTACCAACATTCAAACAAAACATTTTTTTATTTTTTATTTTGTTTAAAGATATTTTATATTTTATGAAGATAAAGACTTAAAATGATTGTTAACGTGGTTTCAAATTAAATATAATTAAAATGCGGTACTTTAAATGGAACTTTTTTATATGCAACTGGCGTAATTTAACTTTTTAACTATGTAAATGTATTTATTGAGTAAAGTTACCTTTACTCGATATACATAATATATATACATATATATATATACATATATATATATATATATATATATATATATATATATATATATATATATATATATATATATATATATATATATATATATATATATATATATATATATATATATATATATATATATATATATATATATACTTATTTATTCCATTATTCACATCCTACCTAATACAACCAAAAAATATGTTGATCCATTGCTTGACATTCGTATCACTCCACCTTCTGTATTTAAAGTGATTTCCTGCTTAGACTCTTCTTTATCTTGTGGCTTGTACAATATAATTGTTATAGTCTTATAGTCTTGCAAATCTGTCCTTGTATGGAATACTGTTGCCATATATGGGGTGGATCTTTAAATGATGTCCTTTCTCTTTTAGACAAGGTGCAGAAACCCATTGTAAACATAGTTGGACCTGCTTTTGCAGCCAACCTTCAATAATTGTTTTTCTTGTGTTACTCGTCTTTCAATTAAGTTTCATCCTTTTACTGTGAATGTTTCTAAGTGCTCCAAAAGTTCTTATTCATCTAGTTTTTATCCTTGAACATCAGTTCTTTGGAATTCGCTTCATCTTGTTTTCCTGATTCATATAATTTGCAATCAAGATGTATGTTAATTTTTATCTTGTTTTATAAACTTCGTCTTTTTTTTCAGTAACTTCAAACTCTAGTAGTGGTTGTTTGCAGCCTTGTTGGAAGATGGGGTGATGTTATATATATATATATATATATATATATATATATATATATATATATACATATATATAAATATGTATATATATATTTATACATATATATAAATATGTATATATATATTTATACATATATATAAATATGTATATATATATTTATACATATATATAAATATGTATATATGAATACATACATACATACTTAACAGATAATATGTATAAATAACTCACTGTCAGACAATCAATACAATGATATATACATAATACATAAATAACAGTCGGGCAATCAATATGGTTTTTGATCCTCTTCCTCTATGGCTAACTTGCAACTGCTGTGACTGAAAGATTTTATTGTGCATTAGATGGAGGCGGAGATGCTAGGGCTCTATTCACATATCTAAATCTTTTGTCAAAGTTTGGCATGCTGGTCTTCTCCATAAGCTTATTTCATATGGTGTATCTAGAAAAAGTTTTGAGATTATCAAATTGTTTTTTTCTAACCTCTTTATTAAAATCATTCTCAATGGCAAATGCTCTGCGGTACCTCAAGGTTCTAACCTTGGGCCTGCTTTGTTTCTTATCTACATTAATGATCTTCGTGACAACCTTACATCTAAAGTAGCTCTTTTTGCTGATGACTCAATTTTACACTCCTGTCTTGACAAAAAGTCTTGTCTTTTCAATCGCTTAGAACAGGCAGCAAATCTTGAATCTGACCTCAAAATTTGGTTGCTAAATTAGCATCTGCTAATGTTGCTTCTCTCTATCATGCTCAGCATTTTCATTCTCCTTATTCCATTCTCTACCTCTACAAATTTCTTATTTATCCTTGTATGCAATACTGATGTCATATTTGGCCTGGTTCTTCTAATGATGCTCTTTTCCTTCTAGACAAGGTCTAAAAATTGTAAACGTAGTTGCACGTACGTTGTAAATAAGATCATTATTTAGCGTTTTTTCATTAGCGTAATTTGTAATTATTTAAGCAACTTGTCTTCACAGAGTAAACTATCCTAATTATTATTGTTAGAATTTATTTTAATTATTATAATTTTTATTGTTATTTTATCAGTAAATTTTGAGATCTAAATTAAAGCTTTGATTTTTTTGATCTGCAAAAATAAAGTTTCTCTATTTATGATAAATCTAATGCTTATAATAATCTTAAGCTTAATCCTCTTTTCCATCGTATTAAATTTGCAACTTTTTCTCTTTTCTATAAATACTATCATGGTCACTGCTCAAAGGAGCTATTATCTCTAGTTCCATCAACTAAAACTCATTCTGGCTTAACTCATTGTTCAGCTAAGTCTCATTATTTTACTGTATCTGTACCTGTATGCTCTAATTTGTTAATTATTTGTCTAAATTTTAATTATAATTAATTATTTGTCTAATCCTTTTCCCTGCCCTTCAACCCCCTAGAACTCTCCCATCTTCATGTTTTTCTGACTCATACAACCTTGAACTTTTCAAGTCTTCTATCAACCGTTTCCTTGCTCTATAACTCTTTTCTTTTTTTCTAGTAACTCTCAACTTAATAGTTAATTGCTTGCAGCTTTGTTGGGAGTAAAAAAAATAAAAAATATATATATCTATCTTAGGACACATTTTTTATAATATATAGATGCTGGTTGCCTGTAACAGTTATAGAGATCTGGCAGTATATTGCAATTTTTTTATATCAAGGAGTACTTTGGAAGCCTATATGTGAAATGTATTACACTACAAATCCATTGTTTGCAAGTGCTGGTATTAAGTAATTACAGTTGTTATGTGTTTGTTATCTTATAACAAATTCAAGTTCAACAAATTTATTCATTTTGTCAATTCTACTACATTACCAAATAAATAATCCTGTTCTATTCAAATAAAGCATAGTATAAGATTATCTGACTAATAATAACCAAGAAGTGTATATCTCTACACAAAATATATCTATTGATGAGTCACTTTTGTTATGAAAAGGTTTACGTTCTTGGAAACAGTGTATTTACAGCAAAAAGGCCAGATTTATTTTAAAAACATTTTTGTTGTGCAAGTCAGATTCAGGATATGTATGGAAATCATTTTATATAGAGGATCTGAGCTAACTAATAAGTTCAGATTATCGATATGTTGCAACAAAAGTTGTTATGTTGCTTATGGATGGCTTACTTGATCAGGTCTACAAATATTGACAACTGGTATTCTTCCTCTGAGCATTTTTATTGCTAAGATCTACAGATACTATAAAAACAATTCACAAAGACTGAAAAGGTTTACCTATTTCTATTAAAACAAAATTGAAAAAAAATTAACATCTAAAATGTTAACACTTTTAGATGTCTAAATTCAGACAAATATAAAACATCTATTAGTAGTCATCTTTCAGACGGCTTGAGACAGCAATTATCCGTCATCTCAAAAATATATACAATTAGATGTTATATAGTTATCTGATTTTAGACGTCTAAAGATGTTATTCTAGATTCTAAAAACATGTGTTTGTGCTGGCTGGGATTGACTTACATTTTCCTTCATATGTGCGTTCCAAATTTAATATACTAACTGACATATTGTCGCATGAGAATTATAAGGTTCTATCTGCCTTGTTTTATGTTGAAAGAATTTAACAATCAAAGTTTTAATTAACAATTAATAATAAAAATAAACTACTTAAAAAATGATATATTATATATAATTTTTTAACATTTTTAACAGATAACATAAACAACTTATAATTTATAATTATAATGAATAAAAGCTGTAAAACATGTATTAAATAAATATTGATAGTTAAGTTCTCACAACATAAAAAACGGCAGATAGAACCTTATAATTCTAATATGACGATATATCTTTGAATTCATATTTCTAATAATATTTCATTAAAACTAAAGTATTGTATAAATATTTAGTGTTTCTGAAATTTAATATCTAGTGATCATTTGTAATTTTTTGTTATTATATCTATTATTTGTCATTAATGTTTTCATAACTGTTTATTAAACTATTGTTGTTAAAGATTTTTTTAACGATTTTTATTTATAATTTTTAATTTAAGATCATTATGCAGTTCTCTGAACTGGGCATCACCTTTAGAAGCATATGGTGCAATATCAAAGTTGCTAAGAATAAAAGACTACCAGTACCATGTTCTTCTTGGATTATGTGTCAGTGTTGGTGGAATGACAGAGTCTTTGGTATTCAAATATTTATACATATTCGAATATTGAAAAAATATATCATAATACGATGAATATATCATAAATTTGCATGAAGTTGTAAAGAATATACATGTAAAAAATTTTTATCTAGTAAAAGATTTTTTTTTTTTTACATTCAAAATGGTTGTATAAAGCTGCTAACCAAAAATTTATATTTAAAGGCTTTCAATTATTTATTTACATGTTTTGTCACACTTCAGTAAAAATTATTTTATAACAGTAATATGTCAACATGTCAGTCAACATTCTTTAAAAAACAGTTTAAAGTTAAAATTAAAAATAAGCAATAAAAAAGCAACTTTCTTTATAGCATTTAAATTTTTTTATTTTTTTCTTTATTTTTTGCACTTAAAAATAAGTCGTTGGTACATTTGGTACACTTTAAAAATACTTTAAAAGTAAAACGTAAAAATCTGTAAAAGTAACAAAGTAAAAGTTAAAAGTGCTGGAATAAAATAATTGTTCTAGCAGTTTTTTTTTAACTGCTAGACCAAAATACTTAATTAAAAAAAAAAAAATTAAAATTAATTTTTAGTTGCAAAGTAAAAAGTGCTTTTACGGGTTGCAAATGTGAATTTATCTAACATTATTATACATGAAATAAATTTTTAATTAATTTTGAAATAAATTTAACCATATGTTCAATCCATCAATCTTTCGTATATTTATTGCAACAGACTGGCAGGTCAATTAGATAATGAAGATTTATAAATTAGTTTGATTTCTTGGTAATTGCAGTTGTTTTGTTTTATTTAGGACATGTGCATTATTCATGAATATACAGCCTTATCTTATATAGATATATATCTTTATAGATTGACGCCAAATATATAATATAAATTATTATAAAACTGCTTTTCATGTTTATTAGCGATATTTTTCAACAGTGGAGAGTCACAAAGGTCATCAGGTGATGAATTAGTGCTATTAATGTATGTTGAAATAATGCTATTAGCATCTTCTTAATAATAAATATCATATTACAATCTAAATTGAAAAAATTCATCTTCAATTTAGACATGACATCTTCATATGCTAAATTTGTACTTGCACTGTCACTGTTTTTAGCCAGTCACTGCTTTTAAATTTATTCTCCAGAAATTCCAGATAAATTCTTTTTTGTTCGTTGTCTTTGATCCAAATTATCTTAAATTTTCAATGGAAAATTGCTGCTGCTATTACTTCTGCATTCATGATGTACTAATTAAATCTGCAATTTAATAGTGAGAAATATATGTGCTACTATGGCAGCACATGTTTCCCACTATTAACTTGCAGCAATGAATTAAGTTAATGTGAAGAAGGAACTGCATTTTCTTCTACAAAGTTATTGCAGCTGGCAGCAAGTATTCCCTGTAGACCTTTTTTTTACACTGCACAATTTTTAACATTTGAGTGATATGCTTCATAACAGAGATATACTTTGCAATAAATACTACTTCAGCTAGTTAAAACTGTAGCAAATCAAAATTGTCTCAAACATCGCATCATCGCATCATCATCGCATCGGTTCCTCATTTATCAGCCTGTTCATGCATTCCACAGACAATTACATTGAGTTCCACCTCATCTAATTAGGAACAACAAACTGCAGACCTAATGATTCATTAATAACTTCTGTAAATGTATTACTTTGTGACTGTTTGTTATTATAGAATTTATTCTAACCAATAAAGTTAAAGTTCTTTTGTACTTTTTTTCTGAAAGTAACTTGTTACAAAGTAAAAGAGTAAGGCTGAAAAGTAATGTAAAAGTAAAAGTAATTTGTTGTAAATTTAACTTGTTACATGTAGTAGTACTGTGTTGTAAATGTAGCTTGTTACGCGTAGAATTACTGAAAATAGTAAACAAAGTAATTAAGTAAATTTACTTTGTTACATCCTGGATTAGCCACTTTGATTCCATTAAAAGTGATTTTCAGTTAACTTTTTATTTGTATAGAGCACTTTTATAAAATCTTTTTATGATTTTACTGTTGATATACGCATAAACTTATTTTGAATTGTGTTTCAAGTTTGTTGCTAAGTTACTTTCATTTTTTATGCCTACTCTCACGAGAAGTTTTTTTTTTGCTCAACATTTTATATTCTTCTTTGGACTTTTTTTTAAAAGTAAAATATTTGGATTTGGATTTGTAAAATATTTGTTTATTTAAAACTAGATAAAATCTTATTTAGGTAAGATATTCCTCAGATGGTCTACTTGACTACTTTTCTGATATCCAAGACAGGTTTTAACTTTTTTCTTTTATTAATTATAGTTTGAGTTTGACTATTTTTAAAATTTTAGAAATCAAATTTTTATTTTTATTAGTGACAATTTTTATATTCTTTTGCTCCTTGCAAATTTGTTACATTTAAAATAAATATAAAATGTTTACAAACCTTTACACTGTTTATTCATAAAACTTTATTCATTTTATAAAATTATTACTGATAAAAATTTGATTTAATTTTAAAATAATAATCAAGCATATACAATTCTATTTAAAAAATAATTTTGTGTTTTTTATTGGGTAGAAATCAATGAAAAATACAAAATCCTATCAACTCCCCCTCACATAACAAATTTTAAAGTTTTTAAAGGGATCCCCAAGTGCAAAAACAAGTCATGTTTATATTAAAGAAAATGTTTCAAAAAAAAATGTTTGGGCTAAATTTTTTTAATTAAAACTAAATAATGAATGCACACCATTAATTTTAAAGTTCATGTTTTAGTAGAAGCTTGCCATCTCTAATTTTTTTTTGGTTCTCTGAGTCTGTAGAGTTTTAGCCGCAATCTGCAGACTTGATAATTTATTTTATGCATGTTTAATTCATAACAGTTTTGGTATATGATGTCATATACCAAATTGTTGTTGTTTTTTTAAAGATATAAGTATTTATTCTCGTACAATTAGAAAATCAAATATTTGAATAATTTTTTACTAAATCACAAAGAATATTTGTGATTTAGTAAAAAAAAACTAATACATTTAGTTGTTAAATATTAGTGCAACTTGTTTTTAATGACCAACAGGATGTATAATTTTTGTACCAGTATTATAGAATGTTATATATTTCCTTATTATAGAATATTATACTTAATTTTTTTTATTTATTACCTTTACTTTTTTGTTCGAGAGCTAAATAAAAATAAGATTATGTTAATTATGTAAAATGTTATTATAAAATATTATACTGTAAAACTGCCTAAGTTCAGTCACCATGTAACTTCGGTCATTAAAGAAAAAATATAAAATAAGCATGCAAAACTCAAATTTTACAAACTTTTTTTTCTCAAATAATATTTCTAATTAGTTCGTAAATATGAATCTATAAAAAAATAATAATATTTATATGCAACCTGCTGAAATAATTCTTTAGCAAAACAACAATTTGAAAAAATGCATACTATTAAAATCTAAAAGAAGCAAACTAATAAAATAAATGATCGTATTTAATCTTAGCATCGTTAAGAATCAGCAAATTAATTATATATACAAAAAAAAATTATTAATTTTTGAAAATTAACTACTTTTTTTAATAAAAATAGTGAAATTTTAAAATACTCTAACTTCGGTCATTCATGGAAAAACAACGAAGAAAACAATTAGTACAAATGTTGTAAAATGTTAGTATGTTAAAAATGTGACTTGGTGAATATGAACTTGTGTTGCAATTGTAAATTTACCAATAAGTTTTGACATTTTTATAATGGATACTCGCCATGGTATTTTATTTGAATAAAGAATTTGTTTATAATTTTAAAATTACCCTGTTTTAAAACAAAATTTACTGGTCAATTTGCAGGTAAATTTTGATTTCAAAAAATACTGGCAAATTTAAATCACTGAATATGAAGTAATTACAAAACAATGATATATATTGCAACGCATTGAAATAGTTTTTTGTCAAGTTAATACATCTATGTCATCTATGGATTTACATGAAAAAGCTCGGATGGCTAATGGTTTGAAGGCTGTAGATAAAGGTATGAGTAAAAGGAAAGCAGCTATAAAATTTGGCTTTTAAAGATCAACTTTCATTGACAGAAGTAACAGCAAACATACTAAAAAAAATGGCAAACCAACTAAGTTGAGCGAAAACATCGAGGGCATTTTAGTAAAGATTTTAATATTTATGAGTGATATTGGTTTTAGTTTGACTAGACTTGAAATACTGTTTGTTGTTAACAACTATTTGGTTAGTTTAAATCAAATGTGTTTTAATGGCGGCAAAGTTTCACTTGCCTGGTATTACTCATTTTTTAGATGTCATTTTGAAGAGCTATCGCTCAGAATTTCAAATAATATGCCATCAAACTGTGCAATGTCAGCTCAACCAGGCACTATTGACCGATAGTATTTATTAAAATTATATGTTTTTATGTAAATATATTTCATAATTAATTGTTATTTAATAAAAATAAAAAAGTGCAATTTTTAAAAGGTAAATTTCAATTTGATTATATTTTTATTTTATTTCTTAAATCAAGGTTTGCACAAGTGTCTAATATGTACAATATACATGGATTCGCCACTAAGCTGTTTAACATTTTTAATTGCAATGAGTCTGGTCTTTAATGTGATCAAGGCAAATTTAAGGTTGTGTGTTGGAAAGGTTCAAAAGGGCCTAAGAAACTTTGCAGTAGCAACAAAAAGGCTTCAGTCATAATACTTGTTTGTTGTGATGCTTTTGGAACATTCTTGCCTGTTTATGTTTTATTCCAAGGCCAAAGGTATTTATGATAAATTTGGGTACGTACTTTAAGAAGGATTTAAAACAGATGTGCCAATAATCCGGAAAGCTCAGCATTTTAAAAACTACAATTCAATTGTTTGAAATTTTAGAGTGATATTCAAATGGCTTCTAACTCTGGACGAGCCTAACAGTGTTACCTATGGTGTCACACAATCTGGCTGGATGGAAGGACCTGCTTTTGCTGGATGGTTTGAAAAGACATTTGTCCCACATTGTCGCAAACTTGAAGGATCCAAATTCTTTTTTCTAGATGGCCATGCCTCACATGTAACGCTGCAGCTAATTCACTTACCAAAAGAGGAGAACATTATTATTTTTAAGCTACCGGCTCATACATCTCACAGGAGGCTAATTCAATTAAGACTCAAAAACGTTTGGCAAAGAAAGCTGGTTTGTTTAACAAACCTACTATTAAAAAGCGGAAACGACAACTAGTGGGAGGTATCAAAACTCCAATTATGTCAGAATCCGAAGCGACTTCCATATATCAACACTGTAAATCTGATGGTTCTTTGAATTCAAAAAAATGTCAAGCTTGTGACATTTTTTTTGGAGATGAAACTGCAGCTCAACAATAAGTAAGGGTGCATTGCAAATCCTGTGACAATTGGACCTTGGATAGATCTTGCTGTTCTAATTTGGTGAACAATATGTGCAAGAATTGTTAATAAACTAGTATTTCACAGTGGCTGTGATTTTTAATTCAGATAAAACTCAATTTTTTTCAGCCAATTGTTATCGCAATAATTTAGACCTTCCTATATTTATGAACGGTAATGTACTCGATAAGTCATCTACCCTTCATCTTCTAGGATTAACTCTCACTTCTGATCCTTCTTGGAAACCTTATATAAAATCCATTGCAAAATTAGCATCTGCTAAAGTTGCATCTCTTTATCAAGCTTGTCACTTTCTTACTCTGGATTCTATTCTCTATCTCTATAAATCTCAAATCCGATCTTGTATGGAATACTGTTGCCATGACTGGGACGCATCTTCTAATGATGCCCTTTCGCTTTTAGACAAGGTGCAAAAACGCATTGTAATCATAGTTGGGCCTGCTCTTGTAGAGCAGGCCCAACTATGATTACAACCTTCAACCTCTGTCACATCGTCGTAATGTTACTTCTCTTTCTTTTTTCTACAAATACTATAATGGGCACTGCTCTAAAGAGCTAGCGTCTCTTGTGCCATCTACTAAAATTCATTCTCGTGTTACTCGTCATTCAATTAAGTCTCATCCTTTTTCTGTGACTGTTCCTAAGTGCTCCAAAAACTCTTATTCGTCTAGTTTTTTTCCTCGAACATCAGTTCTTTGGAATTTGCTTCCTTTATCTTGCTTTCCTGATTCATATAATTTGCAATCTTTTAAGTCATCTGTCAATCGTTATCTTGCTCTACAACCTTCATCTTTTCTCTTCCAGTAACTTCCAACACTAATTAGTGGTTGCTTGCAGCCTTGTTGGAAGCGAAGATGTTTAAAAAAAAAAAAAATTATAAAAAAAATTTTTATAAAAAAAAATTTCTTTCAACTTGATTGAAAAGTATCTTTTTAATTTTATTAATCAGCGGCGTAGCAAACGTAGCATGTAGATGCCCCCAAGAAGTCCTTTTTATGGTCTTATAAGATAAGACCATATAATGGTCTTATCTTATAAGACCATAAAAAAGAAATAAGACCATATTTATGGTCTTATAAGATAAGACCATAAGGACTTCTTAGGGCACTTGAACAACAAAAAAAAAGGGGATAAAACCCAAAATAATAAAAGTAGTTTACTTATTATAATAAAAATCAAAAATAATACTATTTATACTTAAAAAGGCCTTTTATATCTGCTCCATGTTGTTTTCTTTCACAACCCAAAAACTTTTTTTTAGAGTCCGGGACGATGCCCTCTTTGGTTACTGGTATTACCTGATATTATATCATCATTAAACAATTAAACAACATTTTAAAATAATTTTTTATTATTCGTGACGTGATGCGTTATTAAGATTTAGAAAGCAACCAAACTTATGAGATGGTATTGAAAGTTCGGTCAAAGTAGATTTTAAATTAAATATTGAGCACTAGTTTTTATTTTTTATTTTTTTATTTTTACAATTTCCTATTTATGTTATTTTTAATTTCCTGTATGTTTCAGAAAAAAAAATTGAAAATTTTTAAGTTATACGTGATAAATAAATCTTCAAAGCTGAAGTGGCTGAACTTAATAATTAATAATATATTAAAATTAATAATATAAAATAATTATATAAGGATAATAATATAAAATATAATAATATAAAATAATTAAAAATATATTAAAATTGATAATATAATAATTAATAATAAAACTTAATAAGTAACTTAATAAGCGATTTTACGGTTTTTAATTTTTTTAATTTATTATTTTTATTTTTTTGTTTGAGAGCTAAGTAAAATTAAGATAAATTTTTAAGTAAGATTTTTACGGTAAACTCCTACACAAAAAGTTGCCTTCAT